ATTTCCCATTCTCGGATGGCGAAACAAGCTACACTGCTAATTTACTTCATACTCAAGGCATTGGCCACAACATTGGCCTTCTCGGGATGATAATGCAACTCAAAATTATAATCCTCTATGAACTCCATCCATTTTCTCTGCCATTTATAAATAGCAACACCAGTACCAAAGCATAGCACCAGCAGCGGCAAAGCAAAACAAACAGGTACATGAAGAAATATCAATCTTGCACACCAACACTCCCACACGACTAGATAATAACATCACAACCATCATCCCTTTATTGTATTGAGCCTATAAACATAATCATAAACAATAACTGTAGCACACCTCCCTAGGCGTGATGTAAGGTCTCTAGGATTGATTCCTAGAATTATCTTTCCTCATTCCCTCTCTTTTCTTGAATTTTTGCACTTAAACAGCAAAGTTACTGTTCATGAGCTATTGTTCAGAGCCTCTAAACAACCCCCATGTTTTGATCTCTTCCCTCTCGTTTTATCAACTGTATAACCTACTTCATTCCATTCATTAATTGAAATCCTAAAATTACCAATTAAAGTCGGTCCCAAAATCCACTGTTGTTGTTGTTGCCCCTACTGGTCCTACATCAATTTGGTATCAGAACTTAAGGTTTCGCCACGATGTTTTCACATTGTGGGAGATTCTATACAAGTAGATTTACTCCGGAAGAGAGTAAAGCGCTTCTTAAAGAAGAAATTCGCCAAGATGATTCTCTTTACCAATTATATTGTCACGATCTGAACCTGCCCCTAAAGGTCTAGGTCAAGACTGGCCAGTAATCATAAATTACCTACGACCTTTTAACCAAATCACAAGATATTTATTAAGTATCGAGGCCTAAAGCGACAGCAAAACCAATAATAAAGCTGTCCATTAAGCTGTGCTTATATGACATGAATAGAAATATGCAAAACACCTCATAATATACCATAATAGTTACATTCATCTTCATATACATAACCCAAGATCATACATGATAACATAACAAACTTGACAGAACCAAAGCTTTACAAAGCTTGGCCAAAGCAAAAACTAAAGCCTCAACGTTGGGGCACATCTCGGGTGGCTTCACAAAAGGGGTTGAGTCCAAACAATCTCCAACGCGGGGCCTCCTGATGCTCACCTACATATATAGGGGAAGGGGGTGAGCTAGAAGCCCAATGAGTAACAGAGTTCCATAATTATACAAATACAAAGACGTTAACATGATTAATGCATTTTTTGAATACATATAAGAATAAATAAAGTTCATCAAGCCTTCATCAAACCTTTCAGAGTCTAATACATGATGCGGTACATTTCCAAAAGCATTATTAACACTTAACAAAACGACGATCTCAACGGATCGAAACCATACAAAACGTTCACGATGGAACGAAAGCATATGGAACACCCACATTGGACGAGCTCATACCGAACGTCTATAAGATATCATTCAGAACATCCTTAAAAGAACAAAGCCATACAGAACGATCATCAGAGATTGACATCATACAGAACGTTTATAACGAATTAATATCACATGCAGAATGTCTATGACGGGCTGAAGGCAGGACAGAAGTTTCCGGAGATTAAATTATATTTTCCAAGTTGTCACAATAGTTGTTTCAAAAGGGAATCTCATTCATTCTTATCAAAACATAATTTCGAAAAACAAATCATATCATAAACATTTAAGAATTCCATAGCGTAACTTGACATTTCAGAAAATACTTATAATGGAAAACTTCTCATATCGGACATGTTGAAAACGAAACATAGATTTCATAAAATATTGAATAACATAATCATTCAAAATCATTATACGAAAATATTTTTTCAAAGATATTACTTACTATAACGTGATTTAGATGTTACTCCTTGATGTTCCAAACCTACACATTACACATAACCACACATATTGAAACACAACGTTCAAATCGAATGAATCTTTCTTCTTTTTTTCTAATTCATTTACTCATGTTGGTTTCCTATTTATTAACTCCCAATGAATCATAAATCATGCTGAGGAATGCTTAGAAAGAGATGGGAACGAAAATATGAACACATAACAACTTTCCTAAATATGCTGAAATAAGCCTAACTGCTCGAGCGAACCCTTGGTCGCTTGAGCAGACTGTGCAGCTTGCAAAAATACTGGATGGTCCTCAAGTGCGCTCGAGCCATCCCTTGTTCACTCGAGCCGTTGCAAAGATATACTGAGTTCGCTTGATATTGGAAGCTCGCAATGTACGCTCAAGTGGTTACTCCACCGCTCGAGTAGTCTGCAAAATTTCTAAGTTTTCAAAACTAAAAGATTGAGTTCCAAAACATATTTTCAAAATTTGAAGGTTTGCATGGCTTTCTCAAAATCATGGAAACACTTTAGAAAACATGAAAACACTTCGGAAAACTCAAATACATGATCATTCATAGGTTATTTACTCAAAATTTCTTCAATTAAGCAAAATTGAACTCAAAACTTCATGCATGTGAGGATTAATTTCAAACTCTTTTCATGACTTTCAAAAAGCCTTCAAAACTTATAAATCCATGATGCATGTGCAAATTAACTTTCAATATCATCATGGATGATAGAATTCAAACTCAAAATGATAGAACATTACATGATTATGCATTTATGTATAGCTACATCAATTTTCATCATCGTTAAGCTAATTCCTTTCCAATTACTCATATTCAATCACAATTCCTTATTAAAAATGCATGAGCAAGATGGATTATTTTCAGAAATTAAGGGTTAAAACCTTACCTAAAGCCTTGAATTAGATGAATTCTTGCAAAATCGATTTTGCTTCTCCCTTCAATTCTTCATAAACAACACTCTCTCTCTAGAATGAGCTCTCAGTCTCTCTCTAAAATTTCTCCAGCACACGTATGAATGAAAATGAGCTCATTGCTCTCTTAACACACAAACACACACACACCCATATATATATATATATGTGTGTGTGTATTCATTAGATTAGCTTTAGCACTAATTAAGCTTAACTCAACTAATCAAATCTTAAGATAATTAAACAAATTTTCATTTTACTAAACTGAATCAAATTTTAATCAAAATTTTCAAATCCTTTAAAAATTATGACAACCTAATTAAACTCATCAATTTTGGTTTATGAAGTCATTAAGGCTTTCAATTTCAATTTCAAATTCAAAACAAAATTCCTAACAGATAATTCTCAAATCAAACAAATACATACAAATTAAGCACATAGCACACATTTAAACATTCAAATTCTACATAATAATATAAATGTAATAATGATATGTATGCTGGGGTCATCACATATATACTCTTGAGCAAGGTGATATGCTTGTGAAGGATTATGCAACAAAATACAAGGAATTATTTATCAAGTCTAGAGTGGTAGAAAGTGAACTGATGACTATTGCTTATTTCAAAATTGGATTCAGATGTGGAATTAAAGAAGAGATGTCTCAGGCATATTTGGAAGATATTGAAAATACAACTGAAACAACTATACAATTTGATTTTTTTTTTGGTTGTTGTTGTTGTTGTTGTTGTTGTTGTTATAAGGAGAAATCTACAGTTTTAGCCTATGCATAATACAAAGATTGTCCATCAAAACTAACCAACAAAAACTCAAAAAATGAAAGGCTAAAGTGCCACAAAAAGATGTTGAAAATTTACAACAAGATGCACTAAAGCCGAATATGGTTCTTGAGGATGAAAGCCTTACACAGTTGAAATTGCAAGTCAATGGGTGTGTTCAAAATTTGCCTAACGTGAATGATGACCAGATTATGAAGGATGACAAGCCTCCAATTGAAGCTTAATGTATTCAATTTGAAAGAACTACGGGTGAAACCAGAGACACTGTTGTTCCTTATGCTCTTGAGAGTAATGAATCAAAAGAGTAGTTGCTAATCTAGAACTAATATATATGAAAAATGCTTGAGACTTCCATTTTTTGTAGGCCCCCACAATCTCCTTTGAATCTCCACCATTGATGTATGTGTGAGACCCACTCATGTATGTGTGGGGCCCACACCATCGATGGTGGAGATCCAAAGGAGGTTATAGGGGTCTCCAAAAAAAAAGGGTCTCAATCATTGTTGATACCTTTAAAGCAGCATTGATGGACACCCCCTCCAATCACCCCCCCCTCCCGCCACACACACTCCGCCACACACACGTGGTGGGTAGTGATTGAAAAAAAAAAAAAACCTTGGCCAATGGGAGGGAAAGGGGGTCAAAGGGGGTGGGAAGGAAAGAGGGTTTGAAACATTTTTCACCTTTAAAGGTCACAAGACGGCAATCCATTGTCACTAATCCATTGTCACCAATAAACCCAAAATTGATGAATTTGCACTAATTCACTATAGGAAATTACCGACTAAAAATACAAGGTCTGGAAAAGCAATTGGTCGCCACTTCAGTCGCCAATACAAAGTCTAGAAAAGTAATTACCGACTAAAAATTTTTTTAGTCAGGAAAAAGATTCTATTTGCCAACTAAATTTTTGGTCGTTGATTATATAATTACTGCAACTAAACCATTTTGTAGCTAAAATACTTTAGTCGCCAAAAGTGATATTTTCCCAACTAAATATGTTAGTCGCCAATTGTCACATTCCCCGACCAAAATGTTGGTAGGCGAAAGGGTAAAACTTTAGTCAGCAATAGACCTATTTGTGACCAAACACTTTGATCGCCAAAATTAATAATTTTACCGACTCATTATTTAATCGCAAAATGTACCATTTCGCCTACCAACATTTTGGTCGCCAAATGTGAATGGTGAAACACCGACTAAACATTTGGTCGCCAAAAGAGGGAAAACAAAACCAAATTTTGGTCGCCAATTCAATTCTTTTTGTTTATCAAAATAGAAATAAAATATAAAAAGAATTTCATTTGACTGTAATAATCCATCCAAACCATTCAACATAACTTGTAATTTGCAAAAATCATTAAACCACCAAAATCAATTGAATAATGAACATCCAACAAAATACATAAATCAACCAATACTTAACCTGTTTAATTAAAATCATCAACTATTATAAGTTTTCATCCACAAGTAATTCCAAACTACATAATCGTCCAATTAAAAAGGTCATGTAATCGATATAATCATCCGATTCACATCCATCTAGTATAAAACTTTAAAACATAACAAGTAGTTGTTATTATGTTTTAAATTTTTATCTATATGCATCTATCCAAAAATATAACTAGTAGTTTACCCAAATTTTCCATACAAATCTATCCAAAAATATATATAATCCTTAAAAAAATGTAGCAAGTGCCAACTAGTCCTATACAATTCGGCTTCGTGCACGAGTTCATCCATCTGTACAAAAGAAAAACAAAAATAATGTCAAGTAATTTTTTTATGAAAATATTTGCACATCACTTGGATTGTAAAATTGGACAAAAATTGAAAAGGTACATGAAAAGTAAAGAAAAAATGAACAAATTAAAGGACTGTCAATACCATTTCGTAAATTAAACAATATTCATATGTATACATCCACTCAACATTAAAATTCTATCAATATCAATACACCACACTCAAAAAATTCCACGAGTAATAGATGTATGACCCGAAGATTAAATTCTATTAATATAATATTCTAACAATTGAAATAGATGTTATCAATCAATGCTTCCATTTAGATTTTCTACCTCATATTGCAATAACTGGACAACATAAGTGAATATTTGATCTAACAAGTTAGTTACTATGACCTATAGGTTATAGCACTTGTGATATTTAAATCTCTAACCGTGCGTCCTATCAATGCGCCGCTTGCTCTCACAAGTTTGTTCAATCTAAGCCGAGGTGACCGTTATGATTTCGGTGGTGTTGTTTGGGGGCTGTTTCCAATTTTCGCCCCCAAACGGTCGGTTTTTGCCTTTTTCTCACATTTTCTTGTCTAAATCTCTAACCGTGCATCCTATCAACGCGCCGCTTGCTTTCACAAGTATGTTTAATCTAGGACGAGCGACCATTACGATCTCGGGACTGTTTGAGTGCTGTTTCCAATTTTCGCCCTCAAACGGCCTATTTTCACCTTTTTCTCACATTTTTTTGGTCTAAATCTCTAACCGTGCATCCTGTCGACGCGACACTTGCTCTCACAATTTTGTTTAATCTACTCCGAGGTGATTGTTATAATCTCAGGGCTGTTTTCATTTTTCGCCCACAAACGGCCCGTTTTCGCCTTTTTCTCACATTTTTTGTCTAAATCTCTAAATGTGCGTCTTATCAACGCACAGTTTACTCTCACAAGTTTATTTAATCTAGGCCAAGGTGACCGTTATGATCTCAGGACTGTTTGGGAGCTGTTTCCAATTTTCGCCCCCAAATGGCACCTATTCGCCTTTTTCTGTCACATTTTTTTGTCTAAATCTCTAACCGTGTGTCCTATCGACGCGCCGCTTGCTCTCACAAGTTTGTTTAATCTAGTCCAAGGTGACCGGGATGATCTTAGGGTTGTTCCGTTTTCACCTTTTTCTCACATTTTTTTGTCAAAATCTCTGATTGTGCGTCCTATCGACGCGTCGCTTGCTCTCACAAGTTTGGATCCATATTATTTTTTGTACATTGGATCCATATTTAGGTAAGCAAACAAACCCTACATCCAGAATTGTTCATTTTTTGCCCCCATCCCTAGAACACATATACTAAAAAAAGTAACTAAGGGTAAGCCCAAGTACTATGTGTAGTGTGATTTAAGAGATAATATATAGTTATGGATCTGGTCTACTTTCCTTCACATAACAAACTATTTCTCGCAATGATTTGGATAATGTAACATTATCCTTTAAAAACTACACTACAATGCCTAATAATGAATCCATGCCTACTACCACTAATTATATAGGTCTTGTGTAGTAGGGCTAGATCAAGATCTTTCATATTGAATAAGGGATCCATGAATGGTTATAAAATAATAAAAAATTATTAACTAATTTTTTGGCAGTGGGCTTGCCGTAATTATTAATGTTATTTGTTTTTTTGACAAGAGGATATCATTCAATCAGATTTGGTTATGAGATACATCATAATTTTAAGGTATTTCAAGATTATAAAATAAAAAATTATATAAAACTCAAATGTATATAATCTTTTCAAGATTGTATGATTATGGTCCTAATTAATCATATGTTGCATGTCCGGAGAAATTGAGAAAAGAAAGCAGAAAGAAGGGGGAAGTGGGTTGCACTTTATTGGTAGAGGCTACCATGAGAGGGAAAACAATCTAGTTCTACCTGCAAATGTAAGACAATAATTACAAATAAAAAATAGAGAGGTAGTGCTGAAAATGCATGCCTACCTAAAAAGGAATCAGCCAAAGCAACTATTTGATTTTTGTATTTGGCTTTTTGGACACTAAACAGTAAATCCAAGCTTCTCTATATAAAGGCCTTTTAAGGATAACCAGAGAGCAAAGGATTAGCATCATTCTCTAGTGAAAATATGGAATTAAAGCAAAGCTTGTAGTTGGAGTACTTCTTCTTTGGGGTTTTGCTACTCTTGAACATGTTTGCTTTTTCTTTGGAAAACAAGACCAGCCATTCTTCTATTAACTGGGTTGTAAGTACTTAATTCACCATTCCTTTTTACCAACTACTTAATTTTCAGAGTTCCAGTTTTTTTAGTGTCGAAAGACCACTATTTTTCTCACTTGTCACCATTTGTTCCATTTGGATATATTTAACAAGGTATAACCAACTCAGACACCTTTCAAAGTTATATCAATTTATGAATCCAAAATTATATCAATTTATGAATCAAAACTTGTTGATACGAGGCTTATTATATAAAATAAAACTGCATGATTATATCATGATGATATATTAATCACCTCCATTCTTCCTTTAATCTACTGCAGAGTTGAGTTCAATTAACTCTTGAGTTAACCCAATTGGCAACTCAACTCACTTTCATCACCTACCCTCCCAACCAGAAGGTATTTCTAGACTCCATTTTCGGACACGCAAATGAAGGATACAGAGAATTCGAGGATGAAATTGTGAAAAAGTGAAAAACGGCTATTTATTCCCATGAATATATTCCCTCCATCACAGATCATAAAATTCCATGATGAGGAATTCCAATTCTCACAGTATACATATAAAAAAAAAAAAAAAATGGAATTAATACATATGAATAACAAAGTAGTTACCGTTCTCTTCCCTATACAAAGGCTTCGCTTGGCTAGAAAAGTCTATTAACTCATCTGGTAAGCTCAGTTTTGGCCGAAAAGCACCACTTTACTCGCTAATTAATTTCCAGAAACTTCCCTTGAATAATGGATTAATGTTTACTGACTAGCTCTAAAAGAAACCTTTAGGCTGTGGGAGCTTCCACACTAACTACATGAATACTTAAGAATATTATTATTACCCCTCTATTCAACAGAACAGCAGCCAAACACAAGGCATTGTGGACTCTAAGATTAGTGCTGTTCAGCAAGATAACTAAAGTGACAGCACCTTTTTAATTGGTGGTCATAATCAATCTACTTCGATTTACTCTCAAAGGCATTAAAGTACATGCCCCACAAAAAAAACTTAAATCTTCCCTACTAAATCAAAAAATTTGCACAAAAATATAGGGCCACTACTACAATGAATAAGAGAGCCATCATAATATCATATAATGTAATGTCCAATAATTAAAAGGTTCATTATATGAAGGCTTTAACCTGATGTAACCACTGTGCTGTACACACACAAACAAACAAACAAAGATCTAATAGAAAACAATGCAGAGCCTGAGTAAAATCAAAGCATACAAGCTAGGAGCTTTAAGTAGTTCCATGAACTACCATAATAGGAAACCAGAGGAACAAGAATTTAAAGCAAAAACTCCACAGAAAAAGTTTCAAGCTTTGAAATCAATAGAAAAGCATGTTCTGTTGTGCTGTCTATAGACAACCCAGTGGACTGATTTTTCTATGTTAAAATCAAAACATTTGATCTGTTTCTATTCATAGTTTTCCCTCTTTTGGTGCATATGGTATGGTTCATTGTAGAGGTATTGTGGTTGTCTATTCCTGTTATTCTAAACTTCGTTTGCACATTTTCTCAAACACATGGTGAGCCATAGGGTGAGGAACAACAATTGATGAGTAGAGACCAACAACCCACAATATAAAATATATCTTTGAACTCCTTGGCCAAAGTCAACAAAATAGATGAATTGTTTGATAAATAAAGGAGCCAAAAGCATTAGAATAACAGAGTATCCAAATCTATACTCATTTAAAATGGTTTTTCTTTTTGAAGTTATGGTGAAATCAAACAAACAAGATGCTAACAATTCAAATTCAAGATTATTATTTTTTTTTTATAATAAACACATCTATAAATATTCTTGACGTGCATAATAAATAAATAAAAAAAGCATTTGAAAGTTGACACCAACAAAAAACTCATCTATATATATATATATATTATTGACGTGCATAATAAAAAAAAAAAGCATTGAAAGTCACACTCATCTTTGTCATAACAAATACACCACATACACATGTTACATAATGTTGGGAGTAACCACCCAACATTGTAAGGCCCCCTTGAAATTCTTATACAAAATGGAAAAAAGAAAATAAACAGGACATATCTGCATGTATGGAAATGAAGGATTGCGATTCACCTTGAATGGCAAAAGAAAGAACGAAAGTAGTACAGACATCAATTCCAATCTGAAATCTAAACAATGATAAAAATGTCCAGATAAAAAAGGCTGGTAAGCCTAGTTTTAATGTGTATCATGAAAATCATATAAACTAATTTCATAAGCAAAAACACTAAATTAACACAAAAGACACGTACATAAACAATAACAAGAAGAAGACATGGCAAAAATTAGAACAATAATTAAATCTGTTAGTCACCTCAAATACATCACATGACCAAACGATTACAATTGGGGTTTTCCTTTTATCAAAGTCAAATTTAAAAATCAAACTATTATTATACTTTATGTAATAATTGGAGGGGGAGAAAACACCAACACCAACAACGCAACAAAGCTCCCAGTTTTAATTTTTAATTTTAGACACTGTTCATGCCATCAGCTCATTTTATTTTAATCTTATCTTTCACTCATTTTTCCAATCACTTTTCCTTTTCTCTCCACAAATCACTCTCCAAATCCAAGATTCAATCACAAACCCAAAAAAAACCCAATTTTAATTTTTCTAATTATTCCACTGCCTTCAATTTCTGAAACTCCTAAACTTTTGCATAAATATACATATCTAAAGAAAAAAAAAATCCCAATTTTGAGTGGGTTTATGTAGCTCCACCAGTGATTACTCGCATATACAGAAATAT